TGGGTGCGGTCACTTATTGATCCGCGATCGGTAAATGTAGCTTGTGTGGACGCTACTGCGCTACTTGACTAAAAAAACTGCAGCGTTACTGAAAAGCTATTTGATTTAAAAAGTAGCGACATTGCTACCACGCTACTGAGAAATGTAGTTTAGCTAGTAGCGTCACTACTTGTAACGCTACTGCCCAACACTGAAAACAGTCATCTATAATACTTTTAAAGTACTGAAAGTTCGATTTCCAAAAGGTGTGTAGCATAATTAAATAATTTTATAATTATATTTATTATATTCTGTTTATAAAATCATTTACAAACCAAATAAAGTCTGACACTAACCTAATTGTTGTCTTTTAGCATCTCCTGGTGATGACTGGAGCAGGTCTGCCACACTTCCGGACTGCAACCTGGTTGGCTTTGGGATCTGCCAGTCATCTGACGCTTCAATTAACAACACTCTATCTACTCCACCTCCGGTTTATTTAACCACACCCCCTGGTGTCATAAACCCACCCCTTGAAGACCTGACTCCACCTCTACTGGTCCCTTTACTGACTGACTGGAATGCTGCCATGGCGACATGGGGCCTGGCATGGGAGTTGCAGGTTTACGTACTGGGCTGCGTGTTTATGCTTGTGGCTGCGCTTTCTGCGCTCAGCCTGATGTGTTTGCCATTGCGCTGGCCCTCTGGCTGTGCCCACTTCAGCCTTCTCCACCTCCTTCAACTACTAACAAGTTCCAGCCGGGCTCTGTGGCTGCTCTACGATCCATACGGCCAAAAAGAGCGCCTTCCCATAGGCTGGGCTCGACTGCTGCATGAAGCTGCTTATCCATGTCTTACCGCATCATTTGGCTTGCTGCTGTTACTGCTAACTGCCCGCTCGTGTACCCAGCTACTTTCCCAGAACACCCTGCAGCGCAGCACCTGCCTTTTGGCAGCCCTAGTGCTTCTGCATGTGGCCATTGTGATGGCGTCCATGGCAATACTGCAACTTTTTCCTACCCTGCAAGTTGTGCCTCTATTACCCGCAGCAGCCTTCGTGCTGATGTCCTCGATCCTTTCATTCACGTATCTGCTTCTCTATTGCTGTGCCCGTGCTGACGTCAAACACATTTACCGCCTCAATGAAAGCTCTCCTGAACGGCCATCATGTCATGCCAGCAGGTGTCCATTTACTGAGGCGCGGATGTGGGAGAGGGCGGCCAAGGCTGGGGTGTTTTCTGCCCTCTTCCTCCTGGCATGCGGAAGTCTTCGACTCTATGCAATGCTACTTGCAGGAGGATTAACCGGTGGAGTCATGGTTGGTCTGATGCCCTGGCCCTGGTGGGGTTTCCAGCTCAGCTGCAGAGTGTGTGAAACAGGAGTGTGTCTTACTCTCGCCCTTATAATCACTCACCCTCTTCTCTGTTGCGGAGTGCCTCCTTCCAAACCCGGGGGCTGCAGCTGGCTCTTCAAAAATCAAACTACAGAAGGCACCACATCTGGAAAACCCACAATCCTCTCGAGTCGGTGTGGCTGGTCACTACGTCCTGCAGAAAAGCTGGGGTTGTGTGAAGGAATAGTACGGCGGGAAAGTGAAAGTGTGCCACTCTACACCTTGGTGGAGCTTCCGCACAGTGAATCCGACGGACTGGACCTTCACTATCCCAGCAGTCCTCAGCACAAGCCTTCAACACAGCTTGCCCAACCCACTAAAACTAACAAAGCATCTCAAGCGTCTTCCTTTGCAAGTTTGGACGCTGATTCTACAGCAGATCTGCGTCCCCCTTCACCTATCGACCTACGCCGAAGTATTGATGAGGCCTTGAACAGCGAGGCTCTGTTCCAGCATAGCCTCTTCGGCTCCTCCAGACTCTCTCTTAGCACCCGTGGACCCCCAGACGGACAACCCTGTCGGGGCAACTCCACTGAAGTCAGCCTATACCGCACTTCCTCCTGTGGGGATGTGGACCCTGCTACTGTACCTAGTCGGTCCAGACAGTGGAGCACTATATCTGGGAGACCAGCTCAGGTCTCGGTCCACTGCGGTGGGATAAACTCAACAGAACACTCTCAGAGCAGCCTACATAGGGGCTCTCATTCTGGGCAGCAGCTCCACAGAAGGTACACCACCTTAGGGTCTACATCCTCCAGAGGGAGCGTGGATGTGGATGCCACTTCTCATGTTGATGAGCTCGCAGTTCAAGCTGAATTCATTAACGTCTGCAGGCAAATAGATGCACTTAGTATTAGCAGCGACACGATTGATCTATAGGTGAAGAAATCTGTATTGAATCAACTACATATTGTGCTGGAGTGTGGATGCACTGTGCTTACATGCAGAATTAGCCTTAAGATTGTCTGGAAAGTTTAACAATTGGACGAATTGGTCCAAATTGGCTGTTGGAGGGCCACTTTGCTGTACAGTTTAACTCCATCACTGCTTGTAAGTTTTCTTTTTGAGAACCTTTCCTGTGTTTGAATATGCCTACTTACTTTCATACTATATAGCACACAGCATTCATAAAACTGTAAATGACCTATTACTTCTCCTGAGATTGGAGTGTGTATCCAATGGACACTTAAATCCCATGAGGCCACAGGAAAGGATTCGGGCATGGCAGTGAAACAATACAATTGATGCTTGTAGGTCGAATAACAGTGACAATATGATGGATACAGTACCTTTAAATGTCATATATACTGCACACATTCATACAATATCGAACATTCATTTTGAACAGTCATAGAGTAAGTTTCAAGACAAATAATTATATGCTGTAAATAATAATGTACAGTATGTGATTTAGGATGCAAAGCTGGATATGGTGGTGGAGGTGTTCAGGAACAGGATTGAGCACCTCTGGGTTTTTTATTTAGCTTGGTTTGATGAAAAGATGTTTAGCCTATGGCCTAATTGTTGTTTTTTCTTGTTGTGGAATGGAACTTTAGAAATCTATTGAAGTGTAAATATGAGAGAAAAGCAAAAGTTTGCATGAAGACGACAAAGACAAACAGAAAAATCTATGCAGTTTCTTTTAAAATGCTAAATGCTAATTAGCCATTTTGATGGATCACTTGCCATTTTAGTTCTACAGGTGTTCCATTTTTAAGAGTTACTTAATTTACATCACATCTGTTAAACTATACTAGACTCAAATTGTTGCCAATTTGCATTCTCATGGCAAACTGTGGCTATGTTTGCAATAACATGCGAGCATATTGCTTGTACTGTTTCTGTAGTATGTGAAATTTCATTCATTTATTGATTTTCTTTTCGGCTTAGTCCCTTTATTATTCCGGGGTCACCACAGTGGAATGAACCGCCAACTAATCCAGAACTTTTTATGCCCTTCCAGCTGCCACCTATCACTGGGAAACATCCATACACACTCATTTACACACATACACTATGGACAAATTAGCTTACCCAATTCACCTATAGCGCATGTCTTTGGACTTGTGGGGGAAACCAGAGCACCCGGAGGAAACCCTAGTGAACACGGGGAGAACATGCAAACTCCACACAGAAAAGCCAACTGACCAAGCCGAGGCTCGAATCAGCGACCTTCTTGCTGTGAGGCAATTGTGCTACCAACTTCTCCACCGTGAAACACTATGTGAATGTTCTAACTGATTTACTGCATCTGCAATAGAACACTGAACGCAGGCACTGAATTAAATATGAAGTCACGTGACAACAATGTTGCTTAGCCTACAACTGTAAACAAATCTTTTATTGATGTCTAATGCATACTGTTGCACATGTACAGTACAGTGTGCACTAAGAAATATGCTAGTAGTTCATTTCAAGCATAGCCTCAGTCTTTGTAACACTGCAAAATATACACTTACTGGCCACTTTATTAGGTACACGTCCAACTGCTTGCTAACTCAAATTTCTAATCAGCCAATCAAATAGCAGCAACTCAATGCATTTAGGCATGTAGACATGGTCAAGATGATCTGCTGCAGTTCAAACCTAGCATTAGAATGGGGAAGGGAAGAAAAGTGACTTTGAACGTGGCATGGTTGTTGGTGCCAGACAGGCTGGTCTGAGTATTTCAGAAACTTCTGATCTACGGGGATTTTCATGCACAACAATGTCAGGTAGGATGGTAGGGACAGAATTTGGATTTGGATCCATCCTTCCTATATCAACGGTTCAAGCTGGTGGTGGTGGAGTATGGTGTGGGGGATATTTTCTTGGCATACTTTGGGTCCATTAGTACCAACTGAGCATCGTGTCAAGTCCACAGCCTACCTGAGTATTGTTGCTGAGCATGTCCAACCCTTTATGACCACAGTGTACCCATCTTCTGATGACTACTTCCAGCAGGATAACGCACCATGTCATAAAGCTCAAATCCTCTCAGACTGGTTTCTTGAACATGACAATAAGTTCATCAGTCACCATATCTCAACCCAATAGAGCACCCTTGGCATGTGGTGGAACGGGAGATTCGCATCATGGATGTGCAGCCAACATATCTGCAGCAACTGCATGATGCTATCATGTCAATATGGATAAAAATCTATAAGGAATATTTTTAGTACCTTGTTTAATCTATGACATGAAGGATTAAGGCAGTTCTTGAGGATAAAGGGGGCCCAAAATAGAAAGGTGTACCTAATAAATAGGCCGGTGAGTGTATATACTCATCATAGCTTAGCAGCATAGCATTGCTAAATATATGTGCCCATAAGCCCTCATAACGATTGTGGTGCACATATACTGCCCTCTGCAGGCTGTATAGACGAATAACATGAAATACAGTTTTTGCCTCCTGACAGACAAAGCCTATATAATGTAAGATCATCTCAATATTGGCTAGGAAAACGTTTTTATTTGTTGCCAAATCTTTAAAATGTGCTCTTTTTTTTAGTAACTGTCCCATTGACTGCTTTTGTTTCTAAATGGGGTGTAGAACATTACACATACACAGTTGTAAATCAATAAAAAGAAATTTTAAAACAATAAAGCAGACAAAACTAATACTTCAAGTACACATTAAAGAACCCAGTCTATAAAAACTCATTCTTTATTCTATAAACTGCATTATATTCAGAATAACAATCCAACAATCTGTGCAAACTACAAAATAGAGCTCAGTGTCACTTTCACAGCAAATGCGTACGACTCTCCTTCACTTCTGACCTTGTAAAATCTCGCAATTTTTTTATACTGTAAAATGTTTGATATATGTAAATCCTTCTAAGATGATGCAAGTGTGTGAAACGAATAAATAAACGTTGAGAAATGAGCGCCTCTACTGTCTAATAAATACATTATTGACTAGCATAAGGCGAGTAACAGTACAAACTCCCTGATTTTAAGGCTGATACTCATTATCCGGTCATGGTTCTAGTGCGATCTGATTAAACAGCAAGCAGCCTGCAAACGTATTCAAGAAAACTAATTCATTTCATAATAGATTTCAATAGAACTGAACTCATAACACTTACACATGTGGTGCACATGATTCACCTCAACATATATTATTGCTATTAAACCAACAGACGTTTTTAATTAGGATCTTTGGAACAAGACAGACTAAACATACCCTGTATACCACAAATATATAAGATACACTCTGTTTCACATACACACACGTATAGGATCTTCATATTTCAGAGTACATTCATAGTCTACATTTTTTTAGGGAAGCCCGAACAAAACAAAAATGCAGCTATGAAACAAAAGCTCCATAGGTTATTTAGTCCCAATGATGGCTTGCAATAAAGTGTTTTTTAAGTTTACCAAGGATTTGAGAGCCATCAGGAAGAAGGACAAAGGATTGAGGGTTGTGTAGAAATGGCTTTTTTTTTAGCTGCTGTGTTTAGTGACGGCCGGTGACGGGACATTAGGTCCAGCTCTTGGGTGCCCTCTGCTGCCAGGCTCAATATAACCGTTTCTCGTAACTGCCGGAAGACAAACAGAGCATTAAACATGAGCCTTTTTTCTCTACATATACAATTAAGAGTTTTTTTTTTTTACAAATATATTACCCATATAAAAAAACAGTTCACCCAAAAGTGAAAATATAAAAAGCACCATGGAAGTAAGTCTTTGTTTTTTCATGCACTTGTCCATTTTAAGTTGTTTACTGTTCATTTTTATTTACTCTTGGCTTTTGATCATTTTTTACAGCTTTATGTGAAAAAAAATCTAAAATACATGGCTAAATGCACCTTTAGTTGCGTTTTTTAAAATACGTGTCTGTAGATTTCCATTGCAATCAAGCCGGTGTTGTGCCGAGAAATGCACCCCCTCATAGACTTTCACTATAAAACCCAAAAATTTAAGGTAACTCAAACAACTGCAACAAACCGTTTGACTCTAATCCTAATGAGTACTGTGAACTTAATCAATTTGGGTAGACAAAGCAATTTGAGCACAGTAAAACCTAATAAATGAAGAGAACTCAAATCAACCGAGTACTGTAAAACCCAATAAGTTAAGGCAACTCAAACTGTCTGAGAAAACCGATTGGGACAAACCATTTGAGTTTAAAAAAAAAAAAACTAATCTAAGTACTGTGAACTTACTCCATTTAAGTTGAAGTAAAGAGGTATTTAATTAGCTCATTACCTTCAACACTGAGTTCAAAACTCTTTTCAAATGAGTAGAATTAACTTTCAATAAATTTTGAGTTAACCACACTCAGTTCATTTGATAAAGTTGACTGTTGGGTTTTATAGTGCAGCGTTCTCTGTTTACTTTTCAAAGAAAATAATAAAAAATCAAAGGCCAAAATTGATTAAAACCTAAAATGATTATTATTTTGATGGATAAAGCAAGCACACGATCTTAAAACACACTAGGTTTACAAATAAATGTAAAATAATAATATTAATAATATTGACTGTAGTGCTGGCTAAAATTATGCTTTTTGGTGGGTTTTAAACAGACATTTAGGCTACATGGAACACATAATTGTTGTTGCTGTTTTAAACTAAACTACACATTAAACAATTCACTTAATCTCATCGGTATTGTATTTAAAGTCAATCTATCTTTTTATTATATATATTTTGCAAGGAAAAGGTTCAATTCACGAATCTCACCTCAATCACTCTCATTAGAGTCATACCTCTATTATTATTATGTTTTAAATCACACATATACACTAAGACCAATTTGGTTTCTTCAAATCACCTATAGCGCATGTCTTTGGACTGTGGGGGAAAACCGAAGCACCGGAGGGAACGAAAAAAAATTTTTTAACGTTTTTTTTGTTGCATACAACTCCCAATTTTATTCATATCTATACTCTGATTATTATTTTTTTATTATTATTATTGTATATTTTTTATTCTGGCTGTTTTTAGTATTTTCTAAATATAAAGTGATAAAATACCAAACATTCTCTTCTGCAAAAACATTTGCCTCAATGCGAATCACTTCAAAAAAAGAAAGAAACTAGAATTTTCACCCGAATTAGACATTTGTGCAAGAAATATATAAAGAATATCACATATTTACACACTTAATAACCAACCTAAAATGTAAGTAAGTATTCACATTTAATTTACATCACCGACCAAAAGTTTGGGGTAAGTTTTTTTTTTAATTATTAATTTTATTTAATAATTTTAATACATTTATTGTTTTCGTCAAGGCAGCATTTATTATATGTTAAAAAAGTTAAATATTTATTTATTAAATATTTATTACTTATTGTAATTAGTTTCAAATGAAATTATTACTCCAGTCATTATTGCTTTTATTACTATTACCATGAATACTACTACTACTACAACTACTACTAATAATAATAATAATAAAATTAATAATATAATACTAATAATTATAAATATTAGAGTTATTTCTGAAGGATCATGCAACTCTAAAGACTTGAGTAATGAAGCTAAAAATTTAAAATCACTGGAAAAAATGATTACATTAAATTATAAACTGCATTTGAGCAGTTATTTTGTAGTGCAATAACGTTTCACAATTTCACAATTTGTACTGTATTTGTGATTAAATAAATGCAGCCTTGGTGAGCAGGAGAAGCTTATTTTAAAACATTTAAAAATCCTACTGACGCCACTCTTTTGAGCGGTAGTGTAAATGCTAATAAACATCCACACTTACATATTGCAGTTAGTTACAATGCACATGAAAACTGTAGCATATATTACTTTTATTACTGAATAAATAAACAAAATAATTGTTAAAAATTCTTACGAACCCCAAATTTTGAAATGCTAGTACACTTTCATGGTGCTTTCATCCCTTGGTCACCATACTATATGCATTCTTAGTGTAAAAAAAGACGCTTAAATCTAATTATGAAAAAGCATTCATTTTAGGGTTAAACGATCTCTTTTTACACTATGATCTCCCTCCCAAAGACAAATCAGTGAACATTTTACAAGTACACAACCACAGCAGGACACTAGCTTTTGTCTACATGATTAGACAGCAAGAGGTCACTAAAACAGTCTCAATGCCCACTAAAGAGCCCAGACGGCAGCACTGTTAACATTTCCAACACAATCCCCTCCACCAGTACTCAACGTTATCATCATTAGAGACATGAGGACTCGGAGTACTTACATGGCAAAAAAGAATATCTATGATGATGGCATAAGAGAAAGGAAGAGAAGACATTTTCACATGTAAACTCTACTTTTCCTTGATTGTGTAACAAAGGATGGACTGAGGGTCTCTGGGAGGAACTTTAATAAAACACACAGAGGGGATTGCTAAAGTTTTACGTGAACCATATTAATACTAATGAAGTCAAATGTGGTGTTTTAAGGGAAATGTGCTGTGGGGAATAAATCTTGCTGGGTAAAACAAGGCGGGGTTAAAGTGAGTGGGCGGGGACTTACGAATGCAGTCCATGAACTCCACCCTCAACCTGAGCAGACATGGTCCTCTTCTCGAACTTCAGCTCTCCAGAGTACATCATCGATCTACATGTAACGCAGGTGAGATGCGTAAAAAAAAGACAATGTTCTTTCCGTATTGGAATTTGGAGCAGAACATTTTAAGTCATAACCTGGATGTATAAATGATCTTCATTTTTTGTGTTCACAACAGATAACAAATAATGTTGATGCATTGTCATAACTTAAGACGTACATTAAACAGCCGATTAGAATGTTATCACTTGATTGAATGGACGTTATCAGTGGTTATCAGCTGATATATATGGGCAAGCAGAGGCCCTCTGATAGGCTCAGAGGGCTGTTATCATCCATCCACATGTTTAATCAGCTATAGATTACATATGGCAGCGACCGTAAGTCAACCAGAATTATTTAAATTATTTATTAATTTTCCCATAATGGTATTTTATTAACGTCTACCCCTACCCCAACCGTCACAGTAATGTAAAAACAGATCTGGATCTGGAGTTTTCTCTAGAAGTACAGCTGATTAACCACGTGGATGGATAATGACAGCCTTCTAAGCCTACCAGTAGGGGCAAAAGGCCCCTACTGGCCCATACCTATCAGCTGATAAACACTGAAACCATTTAATCAAGTGATAACATTCGAGGCAGGTACATTAAAGGATGAATTAGTATATGCTAACAAGATAGCTGAGAATTGGTTTACTGAACACAATTGGTGCAGAATGTACCAGTATTTTAGTTATTTATTCAAAAACAAAAAAACTGATCAATATGTAGATCTGTCATGATGTCTATTTTTTGTTGTATGATATATTGAGCCAAAGAATATTGTGATAAACGATATTATTGTCATTTAAATACCATTTTATGCCGCTCATCTGAATTTCTGTAGGTTTCAAGTCAAATTTAAGACTTTTTAAGACCCTTTTAAGATCATTGTGAATACATTTTTCTTATACAAATCTAAATACTTAGGATTTTTGCAATGGCCAAGTTGGGCCAATAGAATTTTTTTTTTCTAAATGTAAATGTAATTCTTTCTAAGCCAAATATTTTAATGTCAATATTTTTTTCAACATTTTTTTAACCGAATGCATTTCTGTTATAAAACCTTAAGTTTCATGCCTATTCATAAATATTATATCCACTCCACCTTACTTCTGTAAATAGTTTTTGTATAAATGAAAGGCACATAAAGGCAAACATTGCCCTGTTATTGTCATGAGGAATTATGTAATTGTTTATAGTTTTCTTTTCCTGATTAGAGAATTTAATTTAGAGAATTTTCTGTCAAAATGTCTAAATGCTGTTGTGATTGTATCTCTTTGCAATAAAAAAATTAATTTTATTAAGATGGATTGCTGATAATTGGATGTGTTGGCCTGACTGGCTAGCTTTAGTTGGACAGGGAAAAATGAAGACCTTTTAAAAATGATTTAAGACCTACAACACAATATTTTAATGAATTTAAGACCTTTTAAGGCCCAAAATTTACTGTTGAAATTAAAGACATTTTAATCCTGATTAGATAATGACACTCTTATATAATGCCAGAATGACAATATATTACAATGCAAGAACACTCTTCCTAAGAACACATAATATTTTTTTCTTATAAATATTTAATTTAATTATAGTCATTTTTTAGAGTCATTTTGATGCGGGAATGCAATACCTAGTTCAACCACTGGGTGTCAAACTTTCATTCATTCATTTTCTTTTCGGATTAGTCCCTTTATTAATCTGGGATCGCCACAGCGGAATGAACCGTCAACTCATCCAGCATATGTATCCAGCATATAATAGCAAATAGACGGCCTCAAAGCTCCTAAACATGAATAAAAGCTTTTCAAATGTCTGTAAGATAATGTGACAGTCTTACCGCAGAATGGACAGACTCTTTGCACCGATATCCTGACAGCCGTGTTGAATTCCTGCAATGAGGTATGGAACAAACTTGTGTATCGATCCTTTATCCTGAACTGAGCCAGAGACTCCCTGAGCCACCTTCACCTTATCACCTTCACTGGAAAACACACACAACACATGCACATTCAGCCAATACCTAGGGAATAAAATGTCATGCATGTGAAAAATAAAGAAAGATAAAAGTGAAAAAAAAAATTTCTAGATAAATTTCATTTCGAATGCTAAAAATTTAATGATATTACAAAGAAAGAGTGAATAATTAACCATTCTAATATTTATTGCACAATAAGAAGTGATGGTGGTTAGCAATGTTGCCTCACAGCAAGAAGGTTCGAGCCTCGGCTGGGTCAGTTGGCATTTTTGTGTGGAGTTTGGGTGTTCTCCCCGTGCTCGCATGGGTTTGATGTGGCATGGTCATGTGATTATAATAAACAAGTCTTTGTTAAGTCATTACTGTGTTGATTTTTTGTTAAATGAAATGGTTCTACACTCAAGTACGATCTGTTTAATACCATAAAAGCAACATGATTTGTGTGGGTTAGGCATACAATAGCTGACGATAACTGTTTTCAAGGTATATCACGGTTTGGAAAAGTCAAGGTTTCCTTGACCATTCCTAAGGTATGTGTAATGTTACTTTTTTTTTTTTTGGACAACAGTATCTCCAGTAGAAAATATATCCAAAGATGCCATTTTAAATTGTAACGAAATCTATTTTTGAATCTAATGAAGACAGCAGAAGTTAATAATTCATCTGAATGATTTGGCCAGGCGTGTTTACAGCTCCAAAATATGTTCAATCCTTCACAAAATAAAATATACTGTGTTCAAAGTAGAAAAAAGTTTTAGTTTTTTTGTTTTTTACCCAGACATCTAAAAAGAACTTATTTTAGAGCAGTACTCACAATAACGTGAAACCATGATACTGTGATATTTGTATCAAAGGTTATCATACCATCAGAAGCTTATACCGGCTCATGCCTAGTACGGGTTCATTCAGATCGCCCCCAAGTGGTCAATCACTGAACAGGTTACATAGTTTTTAACCTGATCTCGGATCAGTTTTTTTTTTTTTTTAATATAATGAGATATTTGTAAAACAAAAAGGAATAATATTAGTTAATAGCCTCTGGTTGTCCAGTTTAGCAGATCCCACAATGAAACACTATTATAAGCCTTGAAAATTTATAAAAGGACATTAATTATGCAGACAATATTTAATATTAAACAATAGGATAAGTCACATGTGTCAAACTCAGTTCCTGGAGGGCCGCAGCTCTGTACAGTTTAGTTCCAACCCTGATTAAACACACCTGATCAAACTAATTGAGTCCTTCAGGCTTGTTCGAAACCTACAGGTAAATGTGTTGAAGCAGGGTTGGAACTAAACTTTGCAGGGCTGCGTTACTCCAGACACTGGCCTTGACACCTGCGGGCTAAGTTAATCTTATAGGTTATACTACTTTTAATTTAAAGTTGTATATTTTTTTATTTGTTGCACTTTCATGGTTTTGACCAGCAGGTGTCCCTAGCATGTGGTGTTTTGAACCTATCAAAACCGTTAATCACTTCGCAAAACTATTGGTTAAATTTTTTTCAAGCTTGGAAAAGCTTTCTTTTTCCCATCACTGGTAAAAACAATATTACTTTTCCAAAAATACATTTCCAATATTCAACAACAAAAACTATTTTTTAAATATTAGCATACTTGTCTATTGTCATGGTCCCGGTTACCTCACCTCTTTTGTTTTTGTTCATTGCCTTGTGTTTCCTGTGTGACACCCATATTAATTGCCTTAGTTACTAACTGTTCTTGTTACCATACTTGTTAGATTTCCAGTATACAGTTGAAGTGAGAATTATTCGTCCCCCTTTGAATTTTGAATTAAATTTTCTTTTTTAAATATTTCCCAAATGTTTAATAGAGCAAGGACATTTTCACTCTGATAATTTTTCTTCTGGAAAAAGTCTTATTTGTTTTATTTCAGCAAGTATAAAAGCAGGTTTTAATTTTTAAAAACCATTTTAAGGTAAAAATGATTAGCCCCTTTAAGCTATTTTTTGGTAGTCTACAGAACAAACCATCGTTATACAATAACTTGCCTAATTACCCTAAACTGCCTAGTTAACCTAATTAACCTAGTTAAGCCTTTAAATGTCACTTTAAGCTGTATAGAAGTGTCTTGAAAAATATCTAATCAAATATTATTTACTGTAATCGGAGCAAAGATAAAATAAATCAGTTATTAGAAATGAGTTCCTAAAACTCTTCTCTCTGTTTACCAGAAATTGTGGGAAAAATAAACAGGGGGGCTTATAACTCAGGGGGGCTATTAATTCTGATTTCAACTGTATACATTTCAGTCTAATAGCTGAACAATGGTTGTATAACAGCACAATAATTATTGTTGCATTAGTTGTTGATGTTAGTATAGTGTTCCTGCTTTGTTTCATGTCCTGTCTTTCTGTGTCCTTGTTTTGGAATATTTGTTAAATCTAATAACTGCACCATCTTCTTTGTTACATGTATATTTTGATTGTTACAATACTTTATTGCATTTGTGTTATGGAAGTGTTCAGTGTGAAAAGAAAGTCTTTTATTTTTAATTAATTACTATTATGATATAAATGGAAACACTGAAGGAGATCGCACATCACGACGGCGTCCCAGCTTTGGCTCTGCAACGGTCTAAAGGTTTAGCTTCTGCTTTGATTAAAGAACAAGGTACCGAGACTTCATGTTTAATGTGTTTGCTGTATAGAGTTTGTTTTGTATATTGAATTCAAGTGATGTCTGTTTATTTGTGTAATGCTTTCATGTTTGTTTCACGGTTTATACATTTGTTTTTGTTTTTCTTTCTATACAAAGCTCTTACGGTGATGGTGGGGTCGATTTTTTTCCAGAGACTAGTGTGAATGTTGCACTCAAATAAATCATGGGAAAACACCAGTGAACGAGTCAATCCTTTATTAAGACAGTTATCTACAGTAAGCCAGTTAGCTACAGATAACTACAAACAGTATCCCTTTAATATAAAATATGCATGTATAATTAGTTTTTTATATATTAAGCATTATTACAACCAAGCTGTAATTCTAAAAACATTAAGAAGTTGTCTAAAAATATAGATGTACTGTTTGTAAGGATAATTAAAATCACAAATTTGTCAATGTTATTGTCACCACTGTCCTTTCCACTAGAGGATGCTGTTAAACATGATACATCATTTGAGATGAAAATGTTCATGACTTTCAGACAAACAAAAATTATAATGTATGAAAAAGGTCTACAATACCAAAATGTATAGTTTTCATAGCCAAAGAAATATTCATTATCATCTATACAGTATGTACACCTGCAATTAAGTGTAAGAGGGTTTACCTGAAGTAGCGTTTCTGACTGCTGTTGTTTTTCTCCATGGCGTCTAAAGAGCCCATACCACGGTATTTCTTGAGCCGAACTCCATCTGAGAAGAAATACTCACCGGGCGCTTCTGTGGTGGCGGCTAACAATGAGCCCATCATTACTGAAACAAAACAGGCAGAAGGAGAGGCTGTAGTAAAATCCAGACAAGCAAATCCCAGCTATTAATAACAATGATCGTTCAGGCAAATCAGGCAGAAAAACACACAAACACACACACACACCTGTGGACGCTCCCAGTGCCAGGGCTTTAACGACGTGACCCACTGTCTGGATGCCACCGTCGGCAATGACTGGGACCCCAAAACGCCGGGCGTATTCAGCCACTTTATATACAGATGTGCCCTGCGGTCTCCCACACGCCATCACTAATGATACACACACAAACATACACCTACAGTTGCAATCAGAATTATTAGCTCCCCTGAATTTTTTGCCCCCATTTTTTCCCCCCTAATTTCTGTTTAACGGAGCGAAGATTTTTTTTTTCAGCACATTTCTAAACATAATAGTTTTAATAACTCATTACTAATAACTGAATTATTTTATCTTTGCCATGATGACAGTACAGAATATTTTACTGGATATTTTTCAAGACACTTCTATACAGCTTAATGTGACATTTAAAGGCTTAATTAGGTAATTAGGTTAACTAGGCAGGTTAGGGTAATTAGGCAAGTTATTGTATAACGATGGTTTGGTTTGTAGACTAAAATTAAATAAAAAATTTATAAAAATTAATAAAAAATATAACTTAAAGGGGCTAATAATTTTGACCTGAAAATGGTTATCAAAAAATGTAAAACTGCTTTTATCCCTGCTGAAATAAAACAAATAAGCCTTTCTCCAGAAGAAAAAATATTATCAGACATACTTTAAAAATTTCTTTCTTCTGTTAAACATAATTTGGGAAATACTTAAAAAAGAAAAGAAAATTCAAAGGGGGGCTAATAATTCTGATTATTAATTCTGAACAATAATTCTTTTGTTTTTACAAATAATTTAAAAAATGTCTGAGTAATTTACATTTTATATGCACATTAACATGTAAATGATTATTTTTCTTAAAATAAAATTCATGTCAAATACACAACAATTATGTCCCAAAATCATAACACATGAAAAAAAGAAACCAATAAACTCAATTTTTTTTTCTATGTAAATCCACATACACATTATGCACTATTTGATCCACAATTTAAATCGGTTTCTTTTATGAAACAGGTTAAATAGTTTTTTTACACCATTATATATTTAATTTTAACATTTTCTTGTAAATAAATTATTACAATCCTAACAATAAAACAATTAAATAACTAGAATAAAACTTTTGCCTTTTCAGACTTGAAAGCTTAACTATGCATTTTTATTGCTATCTAAATTGCTTATTCTTAATAATTTGTTTTTTATTAAAAACAATAAACAAAATAGCTATCCCAAACCTCCAGCCATAAAATAAATCTTTTGGCATTTGCTTTGCTATATAAATACACAATTCATTTTAAAAGATAATAAAAAAATAAGAAAATAATAAATTATATATATATATATATATATATATATATATATATATATATATATATATATATATATATATATATATATATATTTATTTATTTATTTATTTATTTATTTTATTTTTTTATTATTTTTTTTATTTAATTAAATAAAATAAAAAAAGTAATACACACACACCTTCCTGTGTGATGCAGATGGATCCACAGCCCATGCCCACTCTTAAAGCATCAACACCAGCATCTATAAGATTCTTTGCTTGAGCTGCAGTCACCACTGGAATCAAAAGAAGCAGAATCAAGTCAGAAATTATCACAAGTGTGTAACTGAAACATAAATCATTACAACATACAGTATTGTTTTACCTATGGGGATTAAATTACCAATTTAGTCACTTCCTATTACATCAAACCATGCAAATTATTACTATTATTTTTGTTATAATAATCATTTCAGTTTATTTAGAAATTCAGGGCGAATGTTTGAATAAACATGTAGAAATATAGAAACAGAAATAGCTATTAATAAAATATAAACCACTTTTCACTCAGATTGCAGACCTTTAAAAAATTGTAATGTAAAAATGTAAAAATCCTACTATCAGGATTGTAACTTCTATATAAGAATAACATGAGAACAACATCTCATGGTGATGTTACTCATGTTTCTGTCTGCATCCGTTTAATGATCTGCAATACTGTACTCATATAAATGGTGAACAGAACTTACAGTAAACTATGTACAAAATAAATGATAGAGCATAATATAAAATTCTAGACTTTTAATGTCCATACAACATATATTTTCATATTGCACAGCCCAATCTCACAACACTCAATTTAATGACATTTAAAAGTGATAAATGACACACTATTTGCTCATCCTCGAGTGGTTCCAAACCTTCATGATTTTGTTTAACACAAAATTAGATGTTTGAAGAGTGCTAAAAAGCAATTGACATCCATACAGCAGTAGAAAAAACTAATGCTATGGAAGTCAATGGTCTCACTTTCGGTTTGGAACAAGTAAAGGATAAGTAAATGATGACAGAATTTACAGTGTTAGGATGAACTGTAGCTTTAATGTGTCTTCAGATGAGGAAACACTTAAAGGGAAAAGCCTTACCGTTTCCTCCAACCACCTGCAGTTCTGGGTACTTCTGTTTGATGTAGTTGATCATACTGATCTGAAACACTGAGTTGCCCTGAGAAGAGTCCTGAGGCAGAACAGAAAAAAAAACATACCACATGATCAATAATAAATCAAACAATGTGGAAGCTGCCAAATATTTTAATCATAGTTTAGCTAGGGAACAAACTGTTGTATCCTTTGGTCCTGCTGAAATTACATCTAGTTCCAGCCCTGCCCTTAACCAACAGATAGACACTTTAGTACAGCAAAAGAACTAGATTAGCTGGTTTAGGTGTGCTTAATTAAAGATCAAGATGTGACAGGAGTTTGTGTCCACGATCTGCAAATAAATCAGTTTTATGAACATCATTTGTAAGCAATTATATGGTTTGTTTAGACAAAGCAGTCATTATTTGGCAAAATAAAAAAACACCTGTCATCAAATATATTATTCAGTGTTTGACCTGCAAATTCAGATCTGCACATCTAAGATTGACATTTTGGCTGGATATTTCACCAGCATGGACCACAACACACTTTGAGCAAGACTTTTTGGTAGGGATGAAAGGGATGGTAAGGGAAGAGTGGGATGAAGGGGAATGGAAGTAAGAGGATAAAGAGTCAACAGGTAAATAGGTCGATCGGGAGTCCTACAATGATGCCCTGAGACTCAGCTTGGGGGTACTGTCTTTGTAATGTTTTGGTAGAGTGATTGGACCCCCTGATTCAACCTAGGAGTGTAGAGAGGGTTATAAGATTGTAAATGGGAAGCGAGGAAATAGAGGGAGGGTGGACTCAAGAGATCGCGAAGAACAGTGCTAGAGGGCTGGTCTGCCTTAAATAAGCTTTAGGGAGTAGGTGATTGGTTAGAATTGAGTTTCCACCCTTTGACTGAACTTATGCCAGTAACTTCCACATATATAAACTCATCTTGATTTGCTGGTTCACACTTTAAGGGCATAGTTCACAAAATAATTCTGTCATCATTTCCTCATACTTGACTTGTTTCAAACCAGTTTGATCATTTTGTATTTTGATCTGTTGAACACAAAAAATAAACATTGAAGAATGCTGGAAACCAGTAACCATGGACTTTCATAGTATTTGCTTTTATTGATACGGATGTCAACGCTTACCGGCTAGGCGGCTTCCAACATTCTTAATGTTTTTGCTGAACTATCCCTTCTTAAGTGTGTTTTCACTTGCTTCATGTTATGGGCCTCAAAGCACACAAACTCTCCGAACTAGGCCACCCCAAACTGCCTTTCAAATACCATTTGCCCTTAGCAGTTTTGCACTGAAAGAATGAAAACAAAGTAATGCTGTTTTCCTCCATCTAACACACGAAACTAAAAGCAAATGCTTTTGTTAACTTTGCAGGTGTTTGACTATTTACATTGTATTTTTAATCATTTGCTAAACTGGTTTTTATTTATTTAAATCAAGAAATTTGACACTCTGATTCTTTTTTTCTTTGCTTAAAAGCTTTGAACATGAAAACCAACCTCTTTACAACAAGCCCTGAGAAGGATATGCCTTACAAATACAGTAGACACAGTGGCGGACTGGGAAAACATCGACTACGATCGGCGAGTGAACAGTGGGGAGGGAGGGGGGTTGGGTGCTGAGTTAGGTGGGTTGCGATCGGGAATTGTGGCAATCGGTAAATGAAAAAGAGCAGTTGACATATTGGTTGCAGTGATCCGTAAATAAAGGGGGAGGGGGGTGTTAGGGTGGTTAGGGGAGATCGGTAAGAGAAGAGCAGGGAAGGGTGTTGAGGCGATGCGTCAGGTCACCAGGAAATGTCCCTATGTCCTATGGCCAGTCCCCCCCTCAGTACACACACACCGTCAGTATAATCATGTATGAGGATAAATCATTTAGACTGCAAATATGCCATCTGTTGGAATAAATGATGTCTCATTTCACATAAATGTCACAGAAATTGCGGCAGGGAACACACACAGTTTGCTCCATTCCAGAAAGCGGAAGTTAAGACATGTTGTAGGATTTTTTCTGTCAGGTTAGCCCTCATTCCCACTGAACATGACTTTGCTTACAAAAATGCAAGAAGCAATGCAAAGCAGCATAAAGCACATCGGTATCCGGACACAACCTCTGAGTACCTGTACACAGAGGTTTGCAATGATTGCCCCACCTTTGAGCTCTTCTCATGGGTCCACTGCTATGGAACTGACAGTGATGAGCTGAACTGCCTGTTAAAGCTGATGGTCCTTTAAGGGGCTGTTCACACAGAATGAGTTCTTCCTTTCCAATGTAATACTTTTCTTTTGTTTTTCAATGTAAACACATGGTTGATGGACTTGTGTAGCAGTTACGCTTGCGTCTCGTGTATTTTGAAGCACAGCGTACGTGAACGCAGTGTTTTTTAGAAACCATGTCAAGTTGAAAGATCTGTAACTTTCACATGCAGCACAGCTCATCACTGTCAGTTCCACAGCAGTGGACCAATCAGAAGAGCTCAGAGGCAGGACAAAGGTTGCAGGTTTCTGTTTACAGGCGCTCATTGGCTGTGTCCAGATACCTTCGGGTTTTATTTTTCCAAATCACTTCGAACTGTTGCCTCTCTTGTATTTAGAAGCAAAGACGTGTTCATGTGACTTCTCTCAATGTGGAGAAGCAGCGGCTCTACCCCGAGCTCCTCCTGTGTCACAGAGCTCCTCCCTTTATGTCTATAAGGGTGAGCCCTGCCACCTTGCGAAGGAAACTCAATTTAGCCGCTTGTATCCAAGATCTTGTCCTTTTGGTCATGACCCAAAGCTCATGACCATAGTTGAGAGTAGGAAAGTAGATTGACCGGTAAATAGAGAGCTTTGCCTTTCGGTTTAGCTCCTTCTTTACCACAACGGATCAATACATTGACTGCATTACTGCTACCACTGCACCAATTTTCTTGTCAATCTCACGCTCCATCCCTTCCTCACTCATGAACAAAACCCCAAGATACTTGAACTCCTCCACCTGGGATAAGGACTTTCCTCCAACCTGAAAATGGCAAACCACCTTTTTACGGTGGAGCACCATGGCCTTGGACTTGGAGGTGCTGAACATAATCTGTGTGAACTGCCCTTTAGGATGTTTCTCAAATACAGAGGAGTCAAAGTCAGTTCCTGGAGTGCCGCAGCTCTGCACAGTTTAGTTCCAACCCGGCTCCAACACGCTTACCTTTGGTATCAAACAAGTCTAGAGGACTCAAATAGTTGGATCAGGTGTAATTAGGGTTGGAACTAAACTGTGCAGAGATGTGGCCCTCCAGGAACTGAGTTTGACACATGTGCTCTAATACCATCTAATTCGTTTTTCCTATTTGTAGTTAAGATAACACACATGCTGTTCTGTAAAAGCTTTTGTCCTAAATATGGTCCTAATTGAATTTACCAAACAGACAGGATTATGATCTCTCTGTAATAAGTCCCCTGTTTCATGAATCAAGCTGAATGGATCCCAGGGGCTCTCTAATATCAAGGCAGAATAAGATTTATGTCCCCCTACTCCCTTTTGTACCCACCAGAACGATCACGTCCACTCCAGCCTGCATGAGCAGATCTAGCCGGTACTTGTCGTCCTCTCGGGTGCCGATGGCGGCGCCGCACAGGAGCTGTTTGCGGGAGTCTTTGGAGGCCAGAGGATAATCTCGGTTCTTCTTCAAATCGGTACGAGCGATTATTGCAACAAGCTCATCACTGTCATTCACTATAGGCAGTTTACCTGAGAGAGAAAAAAATGATGTGATGAAAATATTTGCGGTAAACATCACAACATAAACAGGACTGAAGTTATTGCGTCTACCTTTTTTACTGCGCTGTAAGATGTCATTTGCCTCTTTTAATGTTACACCAGCTGGAGCAACCACTAAATCTTCTCGTTTTGTCATTGACTGGAGGATAGAAGATTTAGCATTCAAAAAGTTCAGGCTTATTATTGAAATTCGGGAGTCTTATCAAAGAAAACATAATCTCAAAATGTCACAAAGCAAAAAAAATCATCAGGAGATCATCAGGAAACAAAAAATCTAAACTTTTTCAGCTGGTTATTTTAATAATTTCAGCTATAGTTTTGATTACATGTGCACATCTTTTTTTTTTAAATATCGTACTCTAGACAGTACTTAATTAAGAAAAAAATGTGCCTCGAGACTCCTGTCTCAGCGGTCTACAGACAATTCCTTTGTCTTCATGCTTGGTTTGTGCTTTGTATGCACTGTCAACCCTGGGACCTTATATAGACAGGTGTATGCCTCAAATCATGTCCAATCAACTGAATTTACCACAGGTGAACTCCAATGAAGCTGCTAAAACATCTCAAGAATGATCAGTGGAAACAGAATGTACCTGTGCTCAATTTAGGGCTTCACGGCAAAGGCTGTCAATACTTATGTACATATGTACATTTTTCAGCTTTTTTATTTTTAATAAATTTGCAAAAATTTCAAAAAATATTTTTTCACATTGCCATTATGTAGAACTTATAAACAAACAACAGCAAAAAGTTGAGTGAAAAGTTATATTTGGTTTATCAAAACTATAGCAGCCCAGGTGTGCAATACATTAAAACCTATTGCCTTCCTGAGCACGGGCTGAGCCACAGTGATGTAAAAGCTAAAGGTAGGATCCCAACGACTGTGCCTATGTCTTTGGCTGAGTGGTCAGTGACTCAAAAGAAGTAACACCTATACATGTGAATAGGTACTATTATACTGATGAGATAAGGGCTAGGCAAATGCCATTTATCTTGCTGACCCCTGCACTTCATTTGCACCTATGTATTACTGCCTATAAAAATGCATTTAAACTGAGTGCCTGGCTGCACTAGTTTCAGAGATTTTTCAATGCATGCCACAGCGACAGTGAGTCCTCATTAAAGAATTCTGCTTTAAAGAGGCCCAAAAAGCCTCCTGGTTTTGTCTCTTCTTCAAATTCACAACACCTCAATCTATTTAGGCCAATGTACAGTATTTTCTGTCACTCCATCTAAACACAATAAATAATATTAACTAATTTCAAGGCTGCAGAGGATTTACTATTACTTAAAAGTTGTGCTAATTTACTTATAAGTTGTGCATTCTAAATTAAAATGATTCAAGCTGAATTAGAAATTGAAAAAAAATGTGCAAACACATACCTCCTCCAGTGGCCTATCATAGTCTTTTTCTGACAGGAAGTCGATGTCTCGTGACGTAACAATGCCCACCAGCTTGCTGCCCATCTTTCCAGTTTCAGTAACTGGGATGCCAGAGAAACCGTGCCGTACCTTCGCTTCAAACACATCTCCTACTGTGTGTCGTGGACTCATCACTACAGGGTCTGTAATGAAGCCCTGCTCGAATTTCTGCCAATATGACACAAAACATAGTATTTATCATCGCGAACTCAAAAAAATCTGTATTATCAAAGTCTGCGAGTTATAAATCTACAAATCTAACCACATTTTTACTTCCTCCAAAGTTATATCTCTTACATTTAATTTCACTAACCTTAACTTTCCGGACCTCGTTAGCCTGAAACTCAGGCGTGCAGTTGTGATGAATAATTCCAATTCCTCCCATGAGCTATGAGGAAAAATAACTGGTAATGAAATGGAAAATTTACACTTTATATATGTGTTTGTAAATGTTACTTACAGCCATAGCAATGGCCATTGAGGACTCTGTGACTGTGTCCATTGGAGAGGAAATGAGTGGCGTCTTCAGGGTTATTTTCCGGGTCAGGGCAGAGGTCAAATCCTATGATGTAAAACAAGACTCCAATGAAAATCTGAGGCGAAAGTGTATCATGTGTTAGCATACAGCAGATGTTATATGTAGATGATGCTATAGTATGATCAATTATTATATTATTGAGATATACATAGGTCTACAAAGGTTACGGCCGATTTGGATCACGTGCCTTGATAAGCAATCACATCCTTAACATGATCTGATTTCTTGAGTGCTGTGACAGTCAACACTGTTTGAGGACACCATAGATATTGAAAAGTGCCAGAAATGTAATCCTATCCATTGCAAACCTGCTTGACTTTTGACATATATTAGAATTTTTTAATTAAAGGTCCTGTGAAGTGCTTTAAATTTTACATTTTTGTATTTGATGTTTGATGTAATCTCAACTGAACAATAAAGAGAGGGTGGGGCATAGGATAGCTCCTCCCTTTTATCAGGTACCTCAAATAAAAAGCAAATGAGAGGTGCCTTGAAGGGGGCGGGGCATATCAGATGCTTGAGTGTATTTGATTGGTCAAGATTTGATGCGAAACTGAAGAACGAGTTGACCCTCTCAAAAGGTGTATTTTTTTGCAGTAATTTGTCTTATTTTCTATTCAGTTATGAAGTTTAAATGCTGCATTTGAGTGACATTAAGCACTATTTTTTGCTGGATTAGCTTGTCTGGTGGTCATCATAACACTTTCTGATGTGCCAAAAACATTTTCTAAAGATTTAGAATAAAGAAATATGAAAAAAAAGACAATATTTATTTTTAAAATACAAATGTATGAGATCATATATCATTAGGAAAATAATATGAATTTTATAATTTTTTAATAAATTATAATAAAATAAAAAACCTAGCCTTCAAATATTGTTATCTTCAAATAACAAACTGGCCAGCACATTAAACTTTCTTCAGTCAGAATTTGTGAGGCACGGTTTGACTTCTGAGCCAAGAAGAAGAACAAATGAGCTCATGTATGGGACAAAAAAGAAATGCTGGACCTTTGTCAGTGAGTGTGGTGGAAGTGACAAATTGCAAGCATTTCATTTTTATACCAGTTTCATATTTTTTAAACACACATTTTGTCTACTAACAGATCCTTAAAAATAATACACTGAAACTAAAGGCCAGCTCACACTGTGCAATTATTTATTTATTTTTATCCTGAACAATTGTAGCATGTCAGACTGCACGAACATGGCTCCCATGTCACACTGTAAGATCTAAGCACCAAACACGGAATAAAACTCCCCTGGAGTTTGACGTCATCCCCCCATGACAGTTTCACTATCCCGCATTCTGAAATGATTCCTCGCAGCAAACAAACAATCTGTAGTGGCAATTTTGCACACAGCGTGTCTCAATAATAAAGCCAGGAAAAAAAAAAACTGTTGACATTGCCCCATGGTTATTTGAATGGTCGCATGGATTGCGTCATCAAATTCTGTGCTACTAATGGTTCTTGGACGCTCATTGCAGCTGTTGCCACCCCGCAGGCAAGTGTCTGAAATCTTCTGACATTGTCAGTACTTCGACAGTGACATCGGAGAGAAAATCTGATTGCAACGACATTAAGCGGCTGTCAGTGAACATGTCAAACCAACAGTGAAATTTCACTGGTTTTAGCCTAGGATTTCAGTAATCTTTTAGGATTTCCCAAATTTGTCTTAGACGACAAAATCGTGGCTAAAATCTCACCGTGTGAGCAGGGGTTTACATTGTATTTTAATTTCACTGGACCTTTAATAGTAACTTCTATTATGAGAACTATAAAAAAGACATGTGTTGCAGATTAGCCAAAATTATGAGCCATGATGAGCTTTTTTTATCAAAAGCAGCTACTATTTTTAAATACTACTCTATGTATATAAAATGGGTCTTATCAATCCAGGATGCTTATTGAAATTAATTAAATCCTAAAATGAAGTAAAAACACTCCAGTGTCTTTTGACTCCAGCTGAAAGACACTGAATTTCACAGAAGGAAAAACTTACCATCAAACATTACCAACTTTCTTGAAATCTTTATTTAAATTATCTTTATTTAGGTTTAAGAGAAGAAAAAAAACCTCACAAATTTGAAGCAACTTTTTACAACAAATGTTTATTTTTTATTTATTTATTGTCTTAACTATCCCATTAAAATCACATAATACTATATAAGATACTACTAAAGTAGCATATTAATTACTGGGTTAAAAACTATACCTACTGTCATGTCATGTGTTGTTTTTTTTTCCTCTCAAACACCTGTGTCTCATCATTAGCCACAGCTCAGAGTAATATCAGAAGTGCTCAAAGAAAAGACAAACAATGTTGTGTGTCTGTGTTTACATCAGAAAGTAACTAACCTACTGGGATAAAAAGTAAAACTCAAGACTTTAAGTAGACTCAAATTCCCAGTTCTTCAACGATGTAAAATAACACTATGCACATATAAAAACACACACACACACACACACACACACACACACACACACACACACACACACACACACACACACACACACACACACACACACACACACACACACACACACACACACACACACACACACATATATATATAGCTCTGTAAAAATTCTGATTTCTTTGTTAACACAAATAATATCTATCACACTTAAAGGATCTTCTGTTTATATGAGTCATTAACTTGTTGGGACAGATTATCTAATCACTTACGTTGAAGCAAACCCTCTTTTATACTAAGGTTTTACTGAGTCATTGGGAACGAAAAGGTGTGTTTTTTAAATAATTAATGAGAGAAGAGTATTTAAATAAATGTACTAAGGTTTACTAAGGTCAGTTTACTGGTGTTTATTTGCACTATTAACCCATTTTATGTCTCTGTTGTTAGTAAATTATGTCCATTTTTTCATCTATAATTCTGTTTATATTCTAATTTGAGCTCTTTTATGCACTGCATTAGACATTATAAAAGGATTTGAATTTCATTTGTGATTGTCACTAGAACTTTTCAGCTTTGCACTTTCATAGGATCACATTCTCACGCTCATTTGCCCTTTTTAGTAAATTTGTCCCGAAATGTAGCTGAGAAAATTAAATTTGCTGTATCTTTAATTAAAATGTGTTTAAAGTTGTGGTTCCATTGGGGACTGATATTTGTGCTCTTGTCTTTCTCTCTCACACACACCTGAGCTTCACAGCCTGCGATAACATGCCCAGCACACCAGGGAGAGTATGGATGCTAACACAGCCGTCTAAAGCTCCCATCCACACACACACTCTGTCCTTTGCAGATCTTCCTCCTCATTAATAGTTAAACAGCTCCTTTTCCATCAACTCAGGTGATCCAAAATGATCATGCACTGTTAACAATTTCCTGCAAAATCTACAGTAACTTACTGTCAATTACAGGAAAAACTCTATATTTACCACACCATTTATCTTGCTGTATATTTATTTAAAGTACTTTAAGATATACAGTAATTTTCACAATTCAATTTAAAAATACAGAAACATACTACATAACTGTCCAATAGTATACATTTCAAATTACAGTTCAGTTCACAACTTACTGTAAATCAATTACAGACAGAATACTGTTTAAATTTACAGCAGCATTTATCTTGTTTTATATGTAAAGTATTGTATATCTTTACTGTAAAATATACAGTTATTTCCACAATGCAACATTTAAAATACAGTAGCATACTGCATAACTGTCCTACAGTATAATATAGTTCATATTACCGTTCAGTTCGCAAGTAACTTGCTGTAAATCAATTCCTGACAGATTACCGTAGTTACATTTACAGCACCATTTATCTAAAGTATGTAAAGTATTGTATATATTTACTGTAAAATATACCGTCGTTTTCACAATTGAACTTTAAAATACAGTAACATCCTGCATTACTATCCTACAGTAAAATGTAGTTCATATTACATTTCAGCTCGCCAGAAACATACCGTAGATCAATTACCGACAAAATACTGTATTCAAATTTACAGCACTATTTATCTTGCCCTATATTTATATAAAGCATTGTAGATCTTTACTGTACAATATACAGTCATTTTTACAATGCAACTTTAAAATACAGTAATTTTTACAATGCAACTTTAAAACACAGTAACAAAGTAACAAAACATTTACCTTGCTGTGTATGGATTCACAGTATTCTACATATTTATTTTAAAACACAGTAATTTTCACAATGCAACTTTAAAATACAGTAACATCCTGCATGTCTGTCCTACAGCAAACATCAGTTCATATTACAGTTCAGTTCGCCAGAAACTTACTGTAAATCAATTAATGACAAAATACTGTATTAAAATTTACAGCACTATTTTTCTTGCTCTATATTTATTTAAATCATTGTAGATCTTTACTGGACAATATACAGTAATTTTCACAATGCAACTTTAAAATACAGTAAAATACTGCATAACTGTCCAACAGTATTATTCAGTTCATATTACCGGTAACTTAACTACCTACAAATTACTTTGTTCAAATTTGCAGCACCATTTACCCTCCTGTGTATTAATTCACAGTATTGTACATATTGACTTTAAAATACAGTAATTTTCACAATGCAACTTTACAATACAGTAACATACTGTATAACTATCCTACAGTATAATAATTAATACTTCATATTAACAGTAACTTACCGTAAATCAATACTGACAAAACACTGTATTCAAATTTACAGCACCATTTACCCTCTTGTGTATGAATTCACAGTATAGTATAACTTAACTGTAAAACATACAGTAATTTTCACAATGCAAACTTTTAAAACATCCCTGCATAACTGTCCTACAGTAAAATTTAGTTCATATTAAAGTTCAGTTCGCCAGTAACTTAAATCAATTACTGCCAAAATACTGTATTTACATTTATAGCACCATTGCTGTGCATGCCTTTGCAGTATTGTACATGTTTAATGTAAAATGCACAGTAATTTTCACAATGCAACTTATATATATATATAATACAGTAAGATACAGCATAACTATCCTACAGTAAGTTTCAGTTTGTATTACAGTTAAATATTTACAACAGCCAGTGCATTAAATAAAAAAAGTGCCATTTTCTGTAATGACTGCTAAACGTCTGGTACTCACCACTTCATCCGATATGAAGTCAATGAACCCAGGCAGTATCAGGAAATCACTGAATGGAGAAGGACAGATGGCACAGTTAGGCAACAACAATGACCTTTAGCTCAGCAATTTATGAATCACACATTATCAAAATTACTAAACGCTTGTATACACACTCAAATCTGTGTCAAATACAGCGGGACAACTCAAAACATAAAACAAACCACAGATGATTGTGAATATCAGATATTATTACTGTGTGGATGGTTTTATGCAAACACAACACAAACGATTACTGTACACTATAGAAATATGAAAAGAGATAAGTTACAGTGATATATAAAGCCAAAAAAAATTTTTTAGCATTCTTTTTTTGAGAATCCTGAAAGCAAATGCATCACAGTTAGCACAAGTACTGTAAACCTGCTGTTTTAATTATTGATAATAAGGAATGACTCCTGAAGGATCGTGTGACTGTAAAGACTGAAATAATGATTTTGGAAATCAGCTTCGTATCGAGGAATATTATTGATCATATATTCAAATAATGATCAGTTAAAAGGGCACCTATGATAAAAATCAACTTTTAAATGCTGTTTAGAGATGTGTTGGTATAGTGTGTCCACTGTTGGAGTGATATAAACACACTAAGTCTCTTTTTTTTTAATTTCCTGACGTTAAAATAGGATCTAAATCCTGATTTTGAGACCCACTGCAACATGATGTAGGAGTGTGGTTTCCCCGCCCACCGAACTGATTGACAGGCACCATGTTTCTATAATAACTTGTATGCACATGTCCACAAAACATATTTTTTTGCAAATAAACTGGGATTAAAATATTTATTACAACTTTCTGTAATTTTTATGAGTTTAAAACGTTTTTTAAAACAGAGCATGTTTTTAATAAAGAGAGTGTAAAATCACTATGTAATTCTTGACCGCTATAATCACCACAGCTGCATGGTGTCAGTAAAGGCTAATATATTTATGTATGTGTGTGTGTGTGTGTGTACTGCAAATAGCATTTGTGTGAGACTCGTCATTTCAGAAAGTCTTGAATGAACTCCACCACAAATACATGAAATAAACTTACTTGGTATTTTTGACTAATGAGCTATTTTAGATTCATCTGAGTCTGTCTCTGTCACTGACTGCTTATCTGATGTAATGCGTGATGAGAAGCAAACGCACACATCGAATCGTTGAGCGTGCAAAAGTAGCTCATTTTCATTTAAAGCCACAGGCTACAAAAACAGCTACAATATCTTCAGACACTAAAATGGGCAAATTCTGGAGGCTATAATAAATATTCTGATGGGTATTTTGAGCTGAAACTTTACAGACACATTCTGGAGACACCATAGGGGTAAAATAGAAGCCCTTTAAGTCAATTAACATATCGCATTTTTATTTGAAAAATGAAGTCCTGGTAATTTTTTTTAAACTATAAGCAAACGATTGATAGTGTATTGATAATGAAAAAAAAATCCTTAATTGGTTTTATAATTTTTTAGGGTAACTTCCTGTTTGCAAACAATTTATATGGGCTAAATTTAATCTTGACATTGAGTTGAACATTACTAAATTGAATCTGTTTAAATTCAGCCCACGGCGGCACAGTGGCTCAGTGGTTAGCACTGTCACCAAACAAAAAGAAGGTCGCTGGTTCGAGTCCTGGCTGATGCAGTTGGCGTTTCCATATGGAGTTTCCATGTTCTCCCTGTGTTGGCGTGGGTTTCCTCCGAGTGCTCCGGTTTCCCCCACAGTCCAAAGACATGTGCTATAGGTGAATTGAATACACTAAATTGGCTGTAGTGTATGAGTGTTTGAATGAGCGTGTGTATGTGAGTTTCCCAGTACTGGGTTGCGGCATTGGAAGGGGATCCACTGCATAAAACATACTGTATGACAAAACAGTTGGTAGTTCATTCCGCTGTGGCGACCTTAAAAAACAGAGACTAATCCGAAGGAAAATTAATGAATGAATGAAATTTAGCCTATATAAATTGTATATTTACAGTATATAACAGTTACAGTTACTGTATACCGTGAAATATATGCAGTTTGGCCTGCAACATGCATGCAATTAACTTGGACACATACAGTACAGTACAACTCTGGGCTTGTTAAGATGAGTTATATAATCTACTTAAGATGTGGCATACAGAGACGTCCTGTTAATGTTCTTAACAGTGTCACCAATGTCACAAGCACAAACACATTGGGTCCTTCCAATGCTCTGCAACTGTTAACATGTGTGAGCAATAAAAAAAAAATATTTTTTTAATAAATGTATGCATTTTTTACCCAGACTACCAATTAAAGTACATTATTTTACTCATTAAGGCTACATTGAAAAACACAGGGGAGAAAAGGTAACATTTTGACATTTATGACAATTTAAATGTCTATTTTCGACTTTAATATACTTTTAAGATCTAATTTAGGGTTGTGATGGTAAAGAAGTGTTTTCAGATGATTTCAATCTTAGTCATTATAATTTGATTAATTATAAGTTATGCAAATTTATCATTTTGTATAAATGTCTTTACTGTCACTTTTGACAATTTCATGCATGAAAGCATTAGAGCACAATAATATTTTGATACAGGAAAAATGGGATGTGATTTGTTTGTCTCAGGAGGATGGGTTAGAAGGCACAGTTCAGTATCCCGTCCCTTGTGGCCTAACGCTCATAAAACCTCCATTAGACCAGATTAAACACTCCAGCCAACATGATAAAAATAGACATGTAGAATACTGCTCTACCAACAAGAGTTTTCAGAAGGCTGGGAGAATATAAACAAATAAAATACACTAATGTCTATAAAAATAAATTGATATTAAAGACGTCATGCACTGAGAAATCTAAATTTTCTTTTGACTCATTAGGGGTTATTTTGCTGTTAAAACGTCCTGCAAGTTGAGAATGCAAAACTTTAGCATAAAAAAGTTCAGTCACTTACATTTTCAGGCAACACTTTTTTCAGTTTTGATTGTTCGCTTACACAGCAACAGTGTTTTTTTGACTGAAAACACATCCATCTAAAAGCAGGTTTCAAAGTGGAAGTTTTTGAAAAAACCAGTATTGTTGTGCCCCTGTAAACAGCCCAAAATGCTAAGTCTTTAAAAACAATGACATTTTGCATGTGCATGGTACTTGGAAGGTGTAGATTAAAGGTTAATGCAAATAATCACAAAAAAAATTGTGTGGATTTACTTTACATTACATTGCATAGACTGTTCTGACTGTATTTCTATAATCTGAAAACCTCGTTGTTGATGTCCATGTTCATCATTTATTGAATTAAATTCAACATACTTGCTTATTTTCCGTTTCTTTTTTATTCATATTCAATAAGGGAAGCAAGTGAAACAAATTACATCAATAAAACTACTAATATGTTTACCTGAGTGATTTTTTGTGGATGGGAGTGGGACAAAATAATATATATTCTTGTGGGGGCGGTAGTAAAAATCCATCCGCACACGTCTCTATTACACACAGCAAATTATACATACACATCAGCACCGCCAAATGCACTTCATGTCTTCCACTTACTAACAAGGTGACAGCGCTAAATCTGACTTGTTGTTTTTTTTGGTCGATTCATGGAAGTTTAAACGCAGAAACTTTTGAAAACGTTTTTTTTCAATGCAGGGGAAAAGCTTCTATTTTTGTCGACATCGTGTAAATGCAAGACTATCTAAAAACAGCTATATTGAAGCCAACCTCCCAAAATTACAGGTTTTGGAATGTGCCACGTTATTACGTAACACTGTATCTAAACTCAGTCTCCACAGCAGAAGATTAACACCTGTTTCTACACCCGTACCTGTTTAGCTTCATCAACTTAGCCTGTAATAGGTAAACAAAAAGAGAGGCAACTGCTGGGGCCTGTACCATGAATGGGCATGGGATGACCTCCTAATATTGTCCTAATTTTATTTTTATTTTTTTATGTTTTTAATGTAATGTTTTTTTTTTATGTAATTAATTTTATTATGTTTTTTGTTTTTGTTTTAAACCTTTTAGGACAACAGTATCTCCAGCAGAAATGGTATGAAAAGATTTTAAATTGTAAAGAAATCTGTTTTTTTATTTTTTTTTATTAATGAAGACAGCAGAGGTTCATGACTTATTTGAATTATTTAGCCTGACATGTTTACTGCTGCAAAATACTTTCTCAAAATAAAATATTTTGTGTTCAAAGGTGAAAAAGAACATATTTTAGAGCAGTAATCACAATACCATGAAACCATGATGTTTTATCCAAGGTTATCATACAATTAGTATCTAAGTCAGTATCTAGGTTTTTGTGTAGACCATATGGGGCTTAACCATAAAGCCAGATTTGCTGGCTAGCCAGTTTCAGTTTAGTTTGCATTAGATTGAACCTGGGTTCCCATGAAGGTAGTATATCTCAGCTGCTCAGTAATATAATGGCAACAAAAAGTTATAAAAAAACAAGCTGCCTTCATGTTACCTGAGAAAAAAAAATAAAATAATTGGTGCCAACTAAACTAAAACTTAACTGGCTAGCCAGCTAATCCAGCTTCATGGTACAGGCCCCCAGTTCTACACAAAAACAAAACAATAAAGATGCTCTGAAGACAACAAGAAACTGTGCTGTGACTAGCCATGGGCTGGTATATGATTCTGACGGTATGATAACCTTGGATAAATATATCACGGTATGGTATTGTGATTACTGCTCTAATATATGTTCTTTTTTAATGTCTGGGTAAAAAAAAAATACAACATTTTCCCCTTTGAACAAAACATTTTTTATTTTGAGAAATATTTAACATGTTGGAACAGTAAACATGTTATGCTAAACAGCTCAAATGAATCACTGACTTCTGCTGTTTTCATTTGTTTCAAACACAGATTTCTTTACAATTCAAAACAGCATCTTTGGATATCTTTCAGCTAGACATACTATTTTCCTAAAAAAAAAAAAAAAAAGTAAATGAAGTTTTTTACACATACCATGAAAATGGTATAGCAGAAAATGTTGGCAGTTTTAAAACTATGATTTTTCCTAACTGCGGTATACTAAGTACCTTGAAAACAGTTATCGTCCCATGCCTAGCTGTGACAAGCTGTGAATAAACAGTCATTTTGCTTCTGATTCCAACATTAGTGGATTAAATTTTTATTTAATGAAGCTCCAAAACTTGTGAGTAGGAACTTTGCTCCTTTGTTTACTTCATTTTACCACAGATGTGTATACATACCAGGCACAATTCCATGCTGAGATTTCAGAAAGATTGAGAAATGACGATGATGTGCGACTGTATTTGATTCAGTTGTTGCATCGTACAAGTGTGAGCAGCATTTTTTATTATGTTAACTTCACTTTGGGGCAAAGCAGTGGCGCAGTAGGTAGTGCTGTCTCTTCACAGCAAGAAGGACGCTGGGTCGCTGGTTCGAACCTCAGCTCAGTTTGCATGTTCTCCCTGCATTCGCGTGGGTTTTCTCCGGGTGCTCCGGTTTTCCCCACAGTCCAAAGACATGCGGTACAGGTGAATTGGGTAGGCTAAATTGTCCGTAGTATATGAGTGTGTGTGTATGTTTCCCAGAGATGGGTTGCGTCTGGAAGGGCATCCGCTGAGTAAAAATGTGCTGGATAAGTTGGCGGTTCATTCCGCTGTGGCGATTCTGGATTAATTAAAGAACTAAGCCGACAAGAAAATGAATGAATGAATGAACTTTGTCTGCTATTACAGATCCTTTAATATGTGATGAGCATTTACTCATTTTCAAACTAAATCCCAGCAGCTATAAAGGCACTATCAAACATAATGTACATGCAAAAGTTTGCACTGGTGGACATACAACCATTATTTTTCAAACTTTCGAATAACGTGAAATACGCTAACAGTTAGCCAATCATACAAGCGGATGCCAACTTGCGAGTCTCCAATCAAATCAAGGGCAGAAAATAGCTTGTAAACTTTACATCACAATGTCTTTTGATCCAAAATCATAGTAACATTAAAAGTGGACCTCAGAGAATAATTCAAAAGTAAAAAGACAGAACACGACCCCTTTAGAGCATATGATGAGCAAGCAATGACGTCTGTGTTGTGATTAAGAGAGACTACACATGCACTCTGCTTTTTGCATTGTCCCATAAACATAGGCTGCATGTGCTGGGACTGAGCACTTGAGCTCCCCGTTGCTATGGAGACGTGGTTGCCATGGAGCTGAGAGCCATCTCACTGACAGATGTCCAGAGAGATGCCTACCTAGAGTGCAAGTGTATTTATGTGTGTGTCAGGGTGAATAGAAACATCATAGGAGCTGCTTTGGCAACACGCTGTCGCCGTGCTTGTTAGTCTATTTAATGCATAATAGTGGTTCTGTAAAATGTATAAGGCAGGAAAGCTGTGAACATGATTTTCGACTTACTTGTATGTGAGACCATCACCGATGGCAAAGAGTTGCTGGGCAGTGAGTCCATCCTCTGGAACATACCCTGTTCCCCCGCTGATCAGGTAATCAGCCATGCTGCAAACATGCACACATACAACAAAGAAGTTGTAACACATGCACTTGAGATTTAGGTTCAAGTTTGTCATCAGCGCTGCCATTCATCCACAAACAAAATTAAATTATATGCATCATAGTGCAAACAGATGATGTTGTGTTCATAAACCGGTGTATCACCTTTAAACTAGCTTGGATAAGGCAGAAATAGCACATGTCTGAAACTCTGGCAGTGCGTCATTTACAATAGACCATTTTAACTATTCATTCATTTTCTTTTCAGCTTAGTCCCATTATTAATCAGGGGTCGCCACAGCGGAATGAACCGCCAACTTTTCCAGCATATGTTTTACACAGTGGATGCCCTTCCACCTGCAACCCATCACTGGGAAACATACATACACACAAGTTCCAAGACCTGGTGGAAATCCACGCGAAAACAGAGAGAACATGCAAACTCTACACAGAAACTTGGGCTGAGGAAATCTATGAGGGTTTGTATAATTGAAAAAAATAATAGATAGACAAACAGACAGACAGGTAAACAGACAGACAGACAGACAGACAGACAGACAGACAGACAGACAGACAGACAGACAGACAGACAGACAGACAGACAGATAGATAGATAGATAGATAGATAGATAGATAGATAGATAGATAGATAGATAGATAGATAGGCAGGCAGACGTTGTACGTAAGTTAAATGATGAAAAATAAAGCAAAATTACACACGACACAATTATATAATTAAAATACATTCAAACCAAAAATTAGGAATTTCTGTTGTACTAAAACTTTCATTAATGACAGAACATTCATTTTAAAAGCGTGTTAGGTCGAAAAAACAAATAAATCCACTTACAGTCTCGAGTTACTTTCTCTTTCGGAACACACTTCCTTCTGCTGAATATTCGCCCCCATGTACAGTAGCTCACATGATGACTGCTACATTTTTATATTAAAGAGCGTGACGGATCAACGCGGGGTTCACTAGTCTCTCCTTCCGCGCAGCAGAGCTCTGAAGGGCAAAGCCGCTGTGGATGAAGGGTCTCCGGGCTCGTGGTGAGACGCGCAGTCTGTGTGTGTTTACAGACCGACAACAGCGTGAACTGAAGTCACATGATACATGCTCGCATCTCAGGGAGAGATGATCATCGTATGATGGTACTGAAAACTCCTCAAACCTGTTTCTAAACATTTTTTCGAGACCAGTTTTTGAATATATTCTGAGTGAAAAACCGAAGTAAAATATTTACTAGTATTTTGGTGTTAGAAGGCATATAACGTGCATCGTTTCACCTGATATAAATCGATTTAAAAAGAGAGAGAAAACGGAAAATGTCTTTATAAGTCGCAGTAGACTCAACAAGCAACACAAGTGCAGTCTTGATTCGTAAACAAATCGTTTTCAGTCGGCTCTATTCAATGAATCGATTGAATTGGTTCACTATCGATATGAACAACGCGTGTTGTCTGATTATTCAAGCTTTAAGGGATAGTTCACCCTGAACATTCTGTCATAATTTTCTCTCACCATTTGTTTTTTTTAACCTGTCTGATGTTGTGTCTTCCATTGAACACAAAAGGAGATGTCTTGAAGAATGTTGTAAACTCGTAATACTAGTTTTTCTATATGGAGGTCAAGGTTAAAAATTTCAGATTTCTTCAAAATATCTTTGTTAGTGCTCTAAAACTCTGAAATGTTTTGAAACCACTTGAAGGTGAGAAAATGGTGTGTAAATCTTCATTTTTGAGTGAACTACGACTTTAACTCAGTGACTGAATGACTTAAATGAATGCGTGTTTGTAAAACAGGTAAAGGTGAATTACAAATATTTTATTATAATAAAATAAATATTTTAGCCAAGACATACTGGCAACAGAACTAAACAGCACTTGGAATTGCAATTATTGCCCATATTTGGCAAAAGAAAAAAGAGTTTTTGAAATTGTAGCAAATTTATTTAAAAAAAAAAAGAAAAATCACATGCACATAAGTATTGACAGCCTTTGCTTAATACTTTGTTGATGCACCTTTGGCAACAATTACAGCCTCAAGTCTTTTTGAATACGATGCCACAAGCTTGGCACTCCTGTCTTTGGGAATTTTTGCCCATTCCTCTTTGCAGTACCTCTCAAGCTCTATCAGGTTGGATGGGAAGCGAGGGTATACAGCAGTTTTCAGATCTCTCCATAGATGTTTAATGGATTTAGTTCTGGGCTCTGGTTGGGCCACTCAAGGACATTCTCTGAGTTGTTGTGAAGGTACTTCATTGATATTTTGGCGGTGTGCTTTGGGTGATTGTTCAGCTGGAAGATGAATCACGCCCCAGTCTGAGGTCAAGAGCACTCTGAAGCAAATTTTCATTCAGGATGTCTCCCTACATGGCTGCATTCATCTTTCCCTCCTGACTAGTCTTTCAGTTTCTGCTGCTGAAAACATTCCCACAGCATGATGCTGCCACCACCATGCTGCTTCACTGTAGGGATGGTATTAGCCTGGTGATGAGCGATGCCTGGTATTCTCCAAACGTAACACCTGGCATTCTCTCCAAAGAGTTCAATTTTAAGAATGATTTATATTTCTGCATCAAGCGCATGCGTAGGCTATGGCGCAGTCTACACATGGACGCATAGCCCCAACATGGCCGTCAGCGACGCTGACCCGCACCTCTCAAAAAATGTAACTACACGTCGCAACGACGCATAGCGCAAGCTCTGTGATTGGTCGGCTTGGTAGCTCTGTCGAGTGTGGGTGGGGGTAAGAGCCACGCAAGACAGATGCAGCAAGTGTTTACAAGTTTTAAGTCCCGTGAAGGAGTTCCGGATGGAGACTGTTGTTTTGCATTTACCTAATGATTAAAGTTGTTGCATGTCCGCAGATTCCAGCCTCAAAATGAGTGAGTTTAAGCCATTTGTAAGGTACCATTCAGAAAAAACAAAACACCAGCAGAGAAACTCAACACTGAGGAACATAAAAACCTACTGCCATTGGCTAGTGTTTCGGAAGTGTTATTGCAAAGCAACAGCAACAGCATGCAGATGCAATGTGCGTGGGCATGCATTTATACTTCTGGGCGCTGTTGCTGTTGTTCTGCAATAACACTTCCGAAACATTAGCCAATGGCAGTAGGTTTTTATGGCAGTAGGTCATGCCGATCACTTGACGCAGAAGTATTAACCAGGCTTTAGTCTCATCAGACCAGAGAATTTTGCTTTTCATGGTCTAAGTGTCCTTCAGATGCCTTTTGGCAAATTCCAGGCGGGTAGTGGCTTCTGTCTGGCCACTCTACCATACAGGCCTGATTGGTGGATTGCTGCACAGATGAGGTGGATTGCTGCACAGATGGTTGTCCTTCTATAAGGTTCTCCTCTCTCCACAGAAGAAAGTTGGAGCTCAGACAGAGTGTTATTGGATTATTAACCATCAGGCTATTGATCACCTCCCTGACTAAGGCCCTTCTCCCCCCTTCTAGAGTCCTAGTGGTTCCAAACATCTTTCACTTAAAGATGATGGAGGCCACTGTGCTCAATGGAACTTTCAGAGCAGCAGTAATTTTTATGTAACCTTCCCCAGCCTTAAGAGACAATCCTGTCTCAGAGGTCTACAGATGATTCATTTGTCTTCATGCTTGGTTTGTGCTTTGAAATGCATGGTCAACCTCGGGACCTTATCTAGACAGGTGTATGCCTTTTCAAATCATGTCCTATCAACTGAATTTACCGTGGTGAACTCAAATTAAGCTGCTGGAACATCTCAAAAATGATCAGTGGAAACAGAATGTTCAATTTAGAGCTTCACGGAAAAGGCTGTCAATACTTATGTACATGTGATTTTTCAGTTTTTTTATTTTTTAATAAATTTGCAACAAACTTTTTTCACATTGTCATTATGGGCTATTGTGTGTAAAATGTTGAGTAAATAAATGAATTTAATCCAATTTGGAATATGGCTGTAACAAAAAAATGTAGAAAAAGTGAAGCGCTATGAATACTTTCCGAATACACTGTCAAGAAAGAAAGCTTTATATTTTGGCTTTCAATCACATAACAAAATGTTTTTAAGGTATATTTTGTCCTATCAGGGGGTTGCACTGTTTGAGTAACCTGTAGGCTACTGGTCCTAAGAAATAAAATTAATTTTTTTAGAAGTGTTTTTCATATTTAACAACTCAGTAGAGCTTGATTTACAACACAGTGTCTGAAATGCATTAAAGTTGCACTGCATTTAACTGCAGTTTAAACCTCTTTAAATATATAGGCAGCATCTAACACTCAAATGACCCTAAGTGGTTCTGCCATCTATTCCTGATGGACATTTAATCTTGCCCTCTTAACATACACAGACGTGCTGTTCTTCCTGGTGGGATTTATACTCTAAATGGGAGATTAGACCTAAACAGTGCTCTATCAATGTAATCCTTCGTTAAAGTTCTCTTCTCATCTGTTAAGAGAAGTGAAGCAAATGGAAAGAGAAAAAGTGTTATGGAAAAATGACTGTAACGGAAAAGTCCCTCTGGATTTCGATCGTTTTACTTCACGCTTTTGCATCTGAGTTATATGGAACAGTGAGTAGGATATATTTCAGATTATTTATAACACAGGAAGATGTTTAAGATGCTCTGAAGTAGCTAACCGATTATCGTGGCTGATTATTAGTGCAGATATTAAACATGTTTTATGATTATCGGTCTCTGTCAAATATAGTAAACGGTGCTCCATCTGAAAGCACTGCAGGTTTGAGTCGCTTGTATTGTGTATTTAAAAAAAGTCATATATATATATAAAACATACAAATTATGTGTGTGTGCGTGTGTGTATGTACTGTTCAACATAAGACCATATTTAACAAGATGTTTTAGCTAACACATTTTGTAACATCAGTAGCAAAATTATTCAGTGAGACGTGGCTTCTCATGCATTTATTGATTTTCTTTAGTACTTTTATTATCAGGGGTCACCACAGCGGAATGAACAGTATATAATCACAGAATAATCAATAATGACAAAGACGTATCAATTTTGTTCTTAATTTTGACAAATTTTAATTTAATTTTCTTTACACCAGAAAAGTTATTCAGAGCCTTTGTTATTCTAAATTAGTTGACTCTTTAATTCTGGGTAAAACAAATTCTAGTTACCCTCTTAGGGAACAAAGTGTCAACCGCATAGGGGAATCTGTGAATGAGGAAAGCCTTTGCTTGACCCTTAGCGAAGCACTTGAGTCACAGGTGTTGTTTTCAAAGCTGCCATGAGATAATAAGCCGTGATTTCAGATCTATAGCTGAAAACTCATGGGCTTCTTTAAAAAGGTGTCTTTTGTCCTAAAAGTCAAAACAACATCACAAACTGTTGTTAGTGACTGGACTTTGAAATATATATATATATATATATATATATATATATATAAGCTATAGGTTTTGACAGTTAGGCAAGTTAACGATGGTTTGTTCTCTAAACTATCGAAAAAAAGGGTTTTATAAATTAAAAACTGCTTTTATTCTAGCTGAAATAAAACATATAAGACTTTCTACAGAAGAAAATATATTATTATATTATGTCATACTGTGAAAATTTCCTTGCTCTGAAACATCATTTGGGAAATATTTAAAAAAGAAAAGGAAATCAAATGGGGACTAATAATTCTTATTTTATATATAAATAGCCACATATATATACATTCATTCATTTATTACATTTTTTTCGACTTAGTCCCTATTAATCTGGGGTCACCACAGTGGAAAGAACCGCCAACTTATCTAGCATACGTTTTACACAGTGGATGCCCTACTAGCTGCAACCCATCACTGGGAAGCACCCATACACACTAATTGACACATACACACAACGGACAATTAAGCACAACTCATTCACCTGTAGCACATGTCTTTGGACTTGTGGGGGAAACCGGAGCACGCGGAGAAAACTCATGCCATCACAGGCAGAACATGCAAACTCCACACAGAAATGCCAAACAACTCAGCCGAGGCTCGTATCAGCAACCTTCTTGCTGTGAGGCAATCATGCTACTGCACCACCGTTATGGCCCTATATTTCCATTAATAAACTTTAGAACTTTAGAAGAACAGAAAAACTATTTTATATATATATATATGCAAACTGATAAGTATATTATGATACAATTATATTTAAAATAGCCAGTTTAGGCAGGTTTACTGAGTGGTGGTTTTGTTTTCTGAGTGAAAAAAATAATAATTCACTACATTTGTCAGTTATGTTATCAGCTGATCTACAATGAATGACTTGTTTTGACTGGATAACACACAGGTCATAATAGACAAAACAGAGCATCTCCTCCTACTTCTCTCTTACTCACTCGCAGCTGTTCTTTTTCTATTATTCCATCTGCATTTTAAAGTCAAAACAAGTTTAAAATATAAAGAAATGATTCACATGCATAAACAAAAGAAATCAAAATGCACATGAATTATTCCCACAACACTATTAATTATTAATAGCTCGAGATGCATTATTAATCGATATTTAATTCTTAAATAACTAAGCAAATTAAGTATATTAATGGACATTATATATAAATATACACAGAATATATTGTCTGTCATTATTTATATCATAAATAAATAAACAACTTAATGAAGTTGAAATATATAGTTTATTTTAAAATATATATGTTTTGTACGTACACAAACATGTACGTACATTTGTATTTGTCAATCCTTTCAGTGTATATGACCAACAATAATGTCTTAAAACAGAAAAAAATAAAATAAAAAACTCAAAACAGTTAAAAGACAAAATTTGGGGGAAATAAACAACACCTCTTTGGTTCTTTCATTCGTTCAATCATTTTGTGGGGTTCATTCATTCGTTCGTTCATCCATTAATCATTCATCCATCCATCCATCCGTCCGTTTGTTTGTTCGTTCGTTCATTCGTTCGTTCGTTCGTTCATTCATTCAATAATGTTAAGGGGTTCATTCATTAATTCAGTCATTTTGCATGGTTCATTTATTCATCCAACTAATTAATGATTTTAAGGGGTTCATTCAATCATTCAATCGACCAGTCATTAATTCAATCAATCAATCAATCAATCAATCAATCAATCAATCAATCAATCAATCAATCAATCAATCAATCAATCAATAGTTTTGTGGACTTCATGTATTCAATCAACCAACCAACCAATTATTCAATCAATCAATCAATCAATCAATCAATCAGTTTAATCAATGATTCATGTTGTGGGGTTTATTCATTCATTCAATCATTTGTGGGGTTCATTCATTCATTCTATTATTCAATTAACCAGCTAACCATTCATTCATTAGTTCAATCAAACAATCAATCAATCAATCAATCAATCAATCAATTTGTGGAGTTCATTTAATGATTCAATCAAACAACCATCATTCATTCATTCAGTTAATTAATCAATCATTTTGTGGACTTTAATCAACCAACCATTCATGTATTCATTCATTCATTAACTTAATCAAACAATCAATCATGTTATGGGGTTAATTTAATAATTCATTCATTGAATCAATCAATCAATCAATCTATCTATCTATCTATCTATCTATCTATCTATCTATCTATCTATCTATCTATCTATCTATCTATCTATCTATCTATCTATCTATCTATCTATCTATCTATCTATCTATCTATCTATCTATCTATCTATCTATCTATCTATCTATCTATCTATCTATAGTTTTGAGCGGTTCATTCAATCATCCAATCTACCAATCATTCAGTCATTCATTCATTCATCCATCCCATCCATTTTGCGGGGTTTAGTAAATCAACAAATCATTCGTTCATTCATTAACTGCAGTGTAAAAGATGTTGGATTGATTTGTGTTGGGACGCCATGAATAAATCAAGTGTACTTATCAGTTTTTTACATATGTAAGTGACTTGAACATAAATCGATTAAGTTGTCCCAATAATTGTGTTGTTTCAGCTTATTTTAATTAAGTAGTTTGAACAAACAACAAACATGATTTTTGAGTGCCTGTTCTCACCTCTCTGGCTCATATCCCGCCTGTATCCGTGTGGCACTGTAGCGCTGGGCTGCCGTCTCATGCCCATGCCCATGCCCATGTAGTGTACTGTGAGTAAACGGGCCATTACAGTGATGATCCGAGTCTCGTAAAGGCATCCGTGGTCTGGCCGGCTCCATGTCCCCCACAATACGCCGGTAGTCAATTTGGTAGCCCTCCCTGTCCCCATCCACATAGCGTTCATACCCAAGCCCGTCCATTTCAACAAAATCCAGCGGGTCGCCCTCCACCGTGGCTCCGTTTGAGCCCAGTCAATCACAAAGAAATCCTGATTTTCGTCTCTCCTCTTCCTCCGAGACCACCTCACAGGCTTAGTAAATCAACTTTTGACCAAACTTTTCCACACAGCTTAAAAAAGAAAGCAGAATGTAAAATAAATGAATGAGAGCTGGGCGTCCTGGGTTAGATTTGTATCCAATTTGCATCGGCTATTAGCCTCCTTCAAACCACAGGAGTTTTGCAAGTACAAAGTAGTTTGCCTGTAGCAATTCAGATCAAGTTGGACTGATTTCCCCAAATTAAAAAATGTCCAAGATGAGTTTTTGGAGACAAGATGTAGATAAAAAAAAAAAAATAATAATAATAAATAATAAATAACAGTTCACAGTAGCTCCAAATGGTAGTTAACCGGATGGCAGACAAGTAGAAACTGAATGAGCCTGTATCTCTCTCTCTCTCTCTCTCTCTGTTTCACTTGAGCTAAGCTCTGTTTCTGACAGAAGCGCGTCACTTTCACAAAGAGGATTGCAGCATTAAGTGTGCATGTGTGTGGTTGTGTGTGTGCTTTAACAGGGGGAGGAACTTGTTGTGTGTGCTTGCATGGTGCTCAGTAATGGAGCGAAGGACAAGGTTTTTACATGCCCCACCTCTTGTTCTCCAAAGGTAACATTGCAGTGGAAAAGCATGCACTTGTTTAAATTAGTATACGCTTATTTGGGAGTCGTATTCATCCTTTCGAGCATACATACAGTACATGCATGCATTTCTATCACTATGTGTATGAACGCATAACCTAGAAACGGCTTTCTCACAAACAAAGTCAAATCCCAGGGTGCACTGATGGAGAGTGCTCAACCCTGGAGAGGATTCAGGTTGGAGCAACAGAAAGATGAAGAGAGAGCCTCTTGATGGACTAATTATGTGCAGACGCTCCATAAGAAGTGCTCAAGCAAAAACTGTGGCTTGAACAAACATGTTTGTTGTGCAGAGCAAGGTTATTTTTGCATTTACTAATTTGCTTTAAAGGGAATCATTAAGTCCCTTTTACAAGATGTGAGCCTTGATGTCCCTAGAGTGTTTCATCTCGAAAACCCCATGAATAATATTTTATAACTCTTTGAAACTTCTTCTTCTTTTAGGCTTTTTTGGTGACTGTAACTTTAAATTCAAATGAGATTTTGCCCCCAGTGCTTTTTTTAAAAGAGGGCGGAGCTACAAACGCCTATGTGTCAGCGTAGCAGCAGATTGAAAATAGACTTAACGTCATCTCAACTGAAAACAATTAGAAGGTAGTCTATGGACACTACAGTGTTTATTTGTGCATCTTAAAACTCCACATTTATATTGTCTCTAATGCCGAGTTCAGACTGCATGATTTTCAAAGTAGTCGTGTCACAGATGTTTTCACACTGCTTGACTATCCGGGCTAGCATTTCGCCGCTGCTTTGTTTACACGGCAAGATGGATCGGCGACAGGGACTTTCACATTGCATGACTTTACTATAGGAAGAATCGTCGACAACTTCGTCCAAACTACGTCTCACAGCCAAAAACACGTAGTACATCTTTTGTTATAACTACATAATGAGAAAGAAGCCTTTAATGGGGTAGAAAATGTACATATTTGCTCACCTGTGTTTAAAGGGAATTAGCCATTTCTTCTCAACATTGATAATAAACTAGTTTCTTTCTGTATGAAACGTCAAACAGACACGGTTGCTCCTGAGTCCTGTCAAACCTGCACTAGTTTTTCCTCCATTTCGTGGGTCCAAATAAACCAAAAAAGAGCGCTTTTTACTTCTCCCCCAGCCTCCCGCTGGCCTGCAGCAGGTATACACACACGCACACGCAAGTGAATGCCGATCTCTCATTGGCTGTAGGCGATCGCTGATGTTATTTTCAGTCAAAACTCAATTCACACGGCATGATTTGAATCGCCGACAGCTCCAGATATTTATCAAACCAAATATCTCGCAGGCATCGTCGACTCATCGGCGACTCTCTCCGATCGCGTCTTTGATAGTTCATACTGTGTGATTTTCACTCACGTGCACAAGCACCGATTTGCTTGTGATTTCAGGCATTTGTCGGCGATTTCACAAAACCTGTCGTTGAGCCAAAATCTGGGCTAAAATCACGCAGTCTGAACTAGGCATTAGTTGCTGAAATTATCTTTGGCCAGTGCGGTCTGTAAACTCTAATGGCTGAAGGCTGCTTCTCACTCATGGCTGTCTATGCTGATAAAGAAGAAATCACCACTAATGGACGGGGCTTTCCCCCTCTGCTAACACATACAAAGGGAGAATGTCAATCAAGCTTTTTCTGCAGACAGTTTTTATGAAGTGTGTTAATTTTTACCATTAGAGGCTGGTTATATTCACACACAACCAGGGCCGGAGTGGGACTCCTTTTCAGCCCTGGAGTTTCAAGCCTCAGACCGGCCCACCTCAGTTCATGCCTGACATTAAAATAAGGTCATTTCCAAATCAGTTTATATTGGCACTATCACGTCTTTTTTTTTTTTTTTTTTTTTTGAGAAAACAGCTGTTGTAGAACTTCAAATGTTCAACAACCCTAACAGTATTATATGTCTTAACAATAAAAATGAAAAAAAAATTACTTAGGTGGGGATCAAACCCGGGTTAGCAGCGCCATAGGCTAACATGCTATCCACTGAACCACAACAATTAATGATTGTGTGATGACACATCTTAGTTATATCATCATTAACCTGCAGCCTGCATCTTGCTCACTGAGCTGCGAGAAAATAGATAAAGAGTAGAGCTGCGGTAAAATAATTAATGAAAAGGCTGTGGTCAATTAAATAAATAAATTTAAAAAGTGTGGCTGCTGAGAGCAACAAATTCTGGAGCTAGGGATACCGGCCCTCGCGGCCAAAAAACGGACCGGCCCACCAGGAATTCTCCTGGTCCTCCCGATTAGCCAATCCGGGCCTGCACACAACTATGTTTAAACCCTATATTTTAAAAAAAAATGCATAATAGGTTCCCTTAAAATATCAGATTAGTTTTAGTTGGTTTTATTAAAGTTTTTTTTACTTTGTTTTAGTTTAGTTTTTTTGTTTTATTAATTGTAGTTTAGTAGGTGGCACGGTGGCTCAGTGGTTAGCACTTTCGCCTCACAGCAAGAAGGTCACTGGTTTGAATCCCGGCTGGGCCAGTGGGCATTTCTGAAATAAAGGTACAGCAGCTTTCACTGGGGCAGTACTTTTTCAAAAGATACATATTTGGTCCACATCCACATTGGTACCTCAAAGGGACATATTAGTACCCAATTGTACCTAAAAAGTACCTTTAAGGAACCATTATGAACCCTTCTGGTACAATTTTGTACCTTTTGAAAAGATACTCCTCCAGTGACAGCTGAGAGTGCACAGTCTAAAGACATGCGCTATAGTTATATTGGATGAAATAAATTGGCCGTAGTGTGTGTGTGTATGAAAGTGTATGGGTGTTTACCAGTATTGGGTTGCAGGAAGGGCATCCGCTGTGTAAAACACATGCTGGAATAGCTGGCGATTCATTCCTCTGTGGCGACCTCTGAAATAGAGACTAAGCCAGAGGATAATCAACAAATGCATAATTGTAGTTTAACAAGGTTAACAGAACACATCTAGTGTGGCTCACAGAAAAGTTTAGTGCACAGCTTACAATGGTTCTTGTACAGAGAACTTTGTAATGAAAGCAAAATAACAGTTTGAACAGACAATTAACCCCAAAACAATGAAAGTGCAACTTAAATGTACAAAAGTAAAACAAAATATGAAGAATTCAGACTAACATCTTTCTATTAAAGATCATGTAGTTAAATACGCTTAGTTAACATTTTTAGCTGATGAAGAAGAGATACAATATGTCGCACCATATTGTATAGGGTGACATGGTAGCTCAGTGGTTAGCACTGTCACCTCACAGCAAGAAGGTCACTGGTTCGAGTCCCGGCTGGGCAAGTTGGCATTTCTGTGTGGAGTTTGCATGTTCTCCCTGTGTTAGTGTGGGTTTCCTCCCTGTGCTCCGGTTTCCCCTACAAGTCCAAAAACATGCGCTATAGGTGAATTAAAAAAACTAAATTGACCGTAGTGCATGTGAGAGTGTATGGGTGTTTCCTTGTACTGGGTTGCAGCTGGAAGGGCATTCGCTGTGTAAAACATATGCTGGATATGTTGGCGGTTCATTCCGTCAGCCGCAGGTAAGATTTTCGGACTCTGAATATATGCTTATTAATTCTGAAGATGATTCATATTTTTGCTAATTATCATTTTAGTTTAGCAAAAAAAAAAATTAAATCTTATTGTTTTTGTCTTTTTTCAGCTCCAAATATCTAAAAAAAAAAATAGATCCAAAAGCATTTTGTAGTCAAGTAAATGATTTAACTTATTTTAAGGAAAAACTCACTTAATTAACATTTTCTTAATCTAATTCTGAAAAAAGACAAGACTTTTTTTGGCTTGAGGATTTTTTGTCTTCGTTTAAGAATTGTTAGATATTTGGACTAGAAATTAGATAAAAAACACAACGTTGACAAAAAGTCATGACAAATAATATATTTAAGCTATACTTTAAATTATTTTAATAAGTTAATCAGGTTTCATTTATTTTATGTCAAGGGTTTTTTGTAGATATTATTTCAGATATTTTGTGACTCATAAGTTTTTATCAAATCAGTGTAAGAAAAGCATTTTTTGCAGTAGGTTGTTATTTTAGTTTTACATTTATTGTGATTTTTAAAATTTACTTTCAGTTAATGAACATGTTTTTTTTTCACACATAGTTTTCCTCTTTAATCAGACATTTGACCTATTTTTTTATGGAAAAGGCAATAAGCTCTTGATTGAAGGTGTGTACACGTCTGCATCTTGAAGGAGGAGAATGGGTACACAAATAGGTGTTTATGTTACAGGACTTTATGTTGCCAGCCAGGTATACAAATCCCCTTGACGTATACATGTGTCTCCCCATCACTAAGCAGGAAGAATTAACAGACTTATGTAAGGAAGGCAATTGTTGCTACACTGCCACCCTCTGGCAAAACTCCAGCTAAACAGGATGGGGTGTGTGTTCGTGGAAACTGATGAACTGTATGTTCAGCGGATGCCTTGCTGGGGTGTATAATTACCAAGTACAGTGCTGTGATAAAGTCTAAGGCCAATGGTTTTTATGAACATCTATATTTTTGTTTTGGTCTCTTCATAAATGTAAAAATATTGAATGTACTGTAGAAATTGTATAAACAAAAAAAGTGTTTTCTGTCAGAAGTACAGTGCAATAAAACTGACTGAAGTTTTACACACTGACAGCAATTTTTGGTTGGTCAGAGTTTTTGGGTTCTCTTAACCCAAACGTATGGTAATCTGCTCAATACGACCTGATTTTATAGTCAAAAGTCTTCCTTAGTTTTTTGGAAGAAAAACTTTGGGTCTTTCTTTTCTGAATGGCTACATGGACTTAACTCCACGTTATATTTGAATAGA